CCTTGAGTTTAGAAAAGCACCTGTCCCCCCCACTGGCTGCTACCGCAGATTCTGGCGTATAACACGACTTTTTAACCCCAGAAAAGAGGTTAAAAAGTCAGGGGTCGTCTTATACGCCGGGTATGGCTTTCTCCCGGCGCGAAGCCCTCCCACTGCTGCTTCGGAAGCTGCCAAAGCTACCTGCCGCCCACTGCCACTGCCCAGTGTATAAGACTGGGCTTATAAGACGAACCCCCAAATTGGCAGCTGTCATCTAATACGCCCAGCCGCCTAATACGCCGGAATCTACGGTAGTTTCGTTTGGGTCTATGCGCTCTCGTCTCATATCGCTTACACGAATTCATCTCTGCCTTGTCCAGTCCCGTGTTCGAAATCGGCCAGGCATGTTTTGCAAGTGGCGCGGGTCCTATTGCAGCCGCACGGAGATTTCTGGATGCTAGCTTGGCGACTGGGGGAAGCAAACCATCACTTAGAGAAGGGACTGAAACATTTCCCTTGAAGCTTGAGTTCGTTTTATTTGGGATTGTTTCATTTGAATGTGCTGCAAACTGCTCTGAGGTTTGTTCTTTAAAATATAAAGCGGTATAGAAATGAAAATAACCGTAACAGCAAATTCGCATTGCAGAAAAAAATAGGGCACCTAGACATTCCCTTGTGGTGACTCATTTGGAATTGGCTTATATACAGTGGTACCTTGGCTCTCGAACTTAATCCGTTCCGGGAGTCCATTCAACTCCCGAAACGGTTCGAAAACCAAGGCGCGGCTTCCGAAAAACGTTTGCAAACCGGAACACTTCCGGGTTTGCGGCGTTTGGGAGCCGAGCCGTTAGAGAACCAATGTACCACTGTATCTGTGTTTCTAGCAATTGCCTTGCTGTAGTGAGTACTTTCAGCAGCTGTGCCCCGCTGGATGAAACAGCTCATTTCTCGCTCGTTTTGGGTGGGCAGCGACACCCTCACTCTTTCCCCTGAGGCAGGGAAATTTGGGGGTTTAGGCTTCTGTGGGATCAGGACCCCCCCCCCCCCGAACTCCACAGGAATGCCCCAAGCTCAGCGGCCGAACATTTGCCTTGGAAGCAGAAGGTTCCAGGTGGAGTTGGCAGAAACTCCCTGCCAGATACCCTAGGGAGCGGCTGTCAATCAGTGCAGACATTACCGTATTTTTCGCTCTATAGGACACACTTTTTCCCCTCCAAAAATGAAGGGGAAATGTGTGTGCATCCTATGGAGCGAATGCAGGCTCCTTGGCTTCAACGAAAGCCCGCAGGAGCCGCATGCTCTTTAAAGGGTGCGCAGCTCCTGTGGGCTTTTGCGGGAGATGGGGGAATTCCCCCCCCTTGATTTCCCCCTCTGAAAATCAGGTGCGCCCTATAGAGCGAAAAATACGGTACTGAGCAAGAGGGAGCCAAATGTATAAGGCAGCTTCCTGCGATGGAGCTTGCTTCAGAGCAGGCAGGAATGGGATGGTGCCACTGAACTGGCCCAGGAAAGAGGCTGCAGCGAGAGGCTTTGCCACCCTGTCGTTCCATTTGCGGGCAGGGAAAGGGCTTGGGGTGGCATCGTTGCTGTGGACCAACCAGGTAAAGGTGGGAAATGGAAGAGAATCCTCTCCCATCTCTGCTGTGGCGAGCGAGCAGCCATCCCCATCACGGCCCCTCTCCCGGTGGCTTGTGCAAAATAAGCTCGTGCCTCATTTCATAGAATCATAGAGTTGGAAGAGACCAGAAGGGCCATCGAGTCCAACCCCCTGCCAAGCAGGAAACACCATCAGAGCACTCCTGACATATGGTTGTCAAGCCTCTGCTTAAAGACCTCCAAAGATTTATTTTAATAAAACTGCAAGGCGGTTCATAGCGCACCTGCTCTGGGGAAAGTTGTAGTTCAGGAGCACCAGCTTTGGTAAGGCTGCTCTAGGAATCCGAGATGAGAGAACCCGGCAATTGATCAAGTGCAGATGTAGCTGTGCGAATGTCCAGGAAGGCATGTTGCTATTTATAGCAAGCAGGTGGTTTGAGTCGAGAATGTGTGTGCCCTTCTTTGCACCCCTAACGCTCAAGGAATGCCAGGAAACTGTTGCTTCTTGTGTCTGAATTGAGAAGAGGCTGTTCTTGAGATGCGCACATTATTTCCATCTTCCTGCAAGGTGTGCAGAGGAAGGTGACGAATATAATCCAAGCGTCTGGAAACTAAGCCTGATGAGGAACGGTCATGTAATCATAGAGTTGGAATAGACCACAAGGGCCATCGAGTCCAACCCCCTGCCAAGCAGGAAACACCATCAGAGCACTCCTGACATATGGTTGTCAAGCCTCTGCTTAAAGACCTCCAAAGAAGGAGACTCCACCGCACTCCTTGTCAGCAAATTCCACTGTCGAACAGCTCTTACTGTCAGGAAGTTCTTCCTAATGTCTAGGTGGAATCTTCTTTCTTGTAGTTTGGATCCATTGCTCCGTGTCCACTTCTCTGGAGCAGCAGAAAACAACCTTTCTCCCTCCTCTATATGACATCCTTTTATATATTTGAACATGGCTATCATATCACCCCTTAACCTCCTCTTCTCCAGGCTAAACATGCCCAGCTCCCTTAGCCATTCCTCATAAGGCATCGTTTCCAGGCCTTTGACCATTTTGGTTGCCCTCCTCTGGACACGTTCCAGTTTGTCAGTGTCCTTCCTTGAACTGTGGTGCCCAGAACTGGACACAGTACTCCAGGTGAGGTCTGACCAGAGCAGAATACAGTGGCACTATTACTTCCCTTGATCTAGATGCTATACTCCTATTGATGCAGCCCAGAATTGCATTGGCTTTTTTAGCTGCCGCGTCACACTGTTGGCTCATGTCAAGTTTGTGGTCAACCAAGACTCCTAGATCCTTTTCACATGTACTGCTCTCAAGCCAGGTGTCCCCCATCTTGTATTTGTGCCTCTCATTTTTTTTGCCCAAGTGCAATACTTTACATTTCTCCCTGTTAAAGTTCATCTTGTTTGTTTTGGCCCAGTTCTCTAATCTGTCAAGGTCGTTTTGAAGTGTGATCCTGTCCTCTGGGGTGTTAGCCACCCCTCCCAGTTTGGTGTCATCTGCAAATTTGATCAGGATGCCCTTGAGTCCATCATCCAAGTCGTTGATAAAGATGTTGAATAAGACCGGGCCCAAGACAGAACCCTGTGGCACCCCACTAGTCACTCTTCTCCAGGATGAAGAGGGACCATTGATGAGCACCCTTTGGGTTTGGTCAGTCAGCCAGTTACAAATCCACTGAGTGGTAGCATAGTCAAGACCGCATTTTACCAGCTTCTTTACAAGAATATCATGGGGCACCTTGTCGAATGCCTTGCTGAAATCAAGGTAGGCTACATCCACTGCGTTCCCTTCATCTACCAGGCTTGTAATTCTGTCAAAGGAGCTGGGTATGTTTAGCCTGGAAAAGAGGAGCTAGGATAGCCCTCTTCAAATATCTCAAGGGCTGTCACATGGAAGAGGGAGCAAGCTTGTTTTCTCCTGCTATGGAGGGCAGGACTCAAACCAGTGACTTCCAAGTTACAAGGAAGGAGATTCCAGCTAAACTTCAGGAAGAACTTTCTGGCAGCAAGAACTCTTTGACAGTGGAACTGACCCCCTCAGAAAGACTCCTTCTTTGGAGGTTGGATTTAAGGGATGGTTTAGTTGAGATTCCTGCATTGCAAGGGGTTGGACTAGGTGACCCTTGGGCATCCTTTGCAATACGATGATTCTATCTCTTTAAATGCCTTATCCCTGCTCTCCCTGTCAATACTCCCAGCTTTGGCTTTATTAACCCGAACCTTGTCCTGTCAAAAGATCACATTCGTGGTGTAGGTTTTACCACCATGCTTCAGTGCAGACTGTGCCAGTTTCCATCACAAATGGTTCCAATCACCTTAAGGCTGTCCATGGAGGCGCAGGTTAATTCTGTGTCCAGGGCAGCTGTTTATCAGCTCCATCTGGTACGCAGGATGAGACCCTCCCTGCCCGCAGACTGTTTCACCAGAGTGGTGCATGCTCTGGTTATCTCCCGCTTGGACTACTGCAATACACTCTACGTGGGGCTACTTTGAAGGTGACTCGTAAACTGCAATTAATCCAGAATGCGGCAGCTAGACTGGTGAGTGGGAGTGGCCACCGAGACCATATAACACCAGTCCTGAAAAATCTACATTGGCTCCCAGTACGTTTCAGAGCACAATTCAAAGTGTTGGTGTTGACCTTGAAAGCCCTAAACAGCCTCGGCCCAGTATACCTGAAGGAGCGTCTCCACCCCCATCGTCCAGCCCGGACACGAAGGTCCAGCTCTGAGGGCCTTCTGGCGGTTCCCTCCCTGCGAGAAGCCAGGGAAACAGGGAACCAGGCAGAGGGCCTTCTCGGTGGTGGCACCTGCCCTGCAGAATGCCCTCCCATCAGATGTCAAAGAAATAAACAACTATTTTACTTTTAAAAGACACCTGAAGGCGGCCCTGTTTAGGGAAGTTTTTAATGTCTTTGACGCTGTATTGTTTTTGATATTTGGTTGGAAGCCGCCCAGAGTGGCTGGGGAAGCCCAGTCAGATGGGTGGGGTATTATTATTAATAATAATAATAATAATAATAATAATAATAATAATGCATTTCCTTGGGCTTAAAAAAATGGGTCTACCATACTTTGGGCACCATGTCTTGCATGCGGGTGCATCTCAGCTTATCCCAAAATGTAAACATCTTACGGAAGGGATGGTTTGCAAAGTTGGGAGAAGCTGTGCTTTTTTCAAGGCCTATGGAGCTGGAGAAAGCTGCCTTGGGGGGGACTGACTCTTCCTTGCCACCCCCCCCCCAACCAAGCTATATCCAGGTACCATTCCTGCAGTGGTTATTCTCTCCACACCCCCCCCACCTCAGCCGCCCTCCCCTCTCGCTTGCGACGGACACAGAATTGCAGGAGGCGGCAGCAGGTGCCCTGGTGGAGCTCTCAAGTTTCCCACGGCATCTCAACCACTCATCAGCCATCGCAGATCGGAGTAAACATGTTTATTTCACAGGCAGAGGTCGAGCTGCCCTTAGCTGACGGGCAGAGGCCACGTAACACGGCAGTTTGGCAGCGGCGAACTGCAACACGCCCCTCCCTGCCACGGGGCACGTTCTTGTCCAACTCGGAAGGAAAGGGAGTGGCAGGAAACTAAATACCTTGGTGGTACCAGTGCGGCAGGTCGTCAAATGCAAAGAATTGCCGTCTCCTTTTAGGCTTTCCCCATGGAAGGGGATCTTCCCTTCCACCCCTCTTTCCACTGTCCCCTTCTGCTTTGCCAAGGAAAACAGAGTTCTGTGACCTGCATGGATTCTGATTTTGGCAGGCAGGTGGTGGAGTAAAAAACTGTAGAGAAGACCCTGAAGTGTTGCCCACCCAAACCCAAATCCCATCACTTTCCCTCTTGGATTCAAGCACTTTTGCATTCGTAGATTTTTGTAAAGGAAGGCTGGGGATGCTTTCTGGAAGCGCATTCTGTTCCCGCAAAGCTTTGGCATGTACACCCCTCCAAACCAACCCCAGGCTTCCGAAACACAAAGGAAAAGGCATATTTCCTTCCCCAAAGGCTAGCTAATACCCTCTTGCCCGCAGAGGTTTCCTGCCCAGAGGAGCAACTGTGCAAAGCCTGCACCCACCTGCATTCTTGGTTCTGTTAGGCCGAGGGGAGTTGTAGTTCAAAACCCCCTGGAGGGTACCAGGTGGGGAAAGGCGGAGCTACATGCAGAGCCCTAGATGCGGCGATGCCTTCTTGCCCACAAAGAACCCATTTCAGGCCATTTCCTTGGCTCGCTGGAGCTCCAAAGGCACTGCACACCTGCTTACGAACATCTCTTCGCAGCCACGGGGACTGAAAACCCTTCGCTCTTGCAAATCGAAAGTCAAGAATCCCAGTGCCAGAGCTGGCGGAGTGTCTCAAACTTGGCAAAGGGCGCTTCTCGGAGGAGACACCCCCTCTTCTGCTTGCTTGCACCAAGCAAGGCAGGTCTGGCCCCAATCCATGCAACCTAGTGGGGGAAGGAGGCACAGAGCAGCCTCCATCTTTGGCCTTTTCGGGGCTGAGGCCCAAGAGCAGCGCATGATTCTCTGTGGTTACGGAATTTCACAGGGTTGGGGGCTACAGGACCTTTGGGGTCCCTCCCATTTGTGCCCTGCTCCAGACCTTCGCAGGGGCTCTTTTAGAAGGTGGGGGTCCTGGTTTTCCCTTCCCTGCTACAGCGCTTACGCTTAAGTAAAGCTACCTGCTGCAACCCAGCTCAACGGACTTCCCCCATCGCTGACGCAAGACCTGCCCTTGCCCTGCAAGTTCCTTGCAGCCCTCTCCCCGCACCCCTTCCATTTGACAGTTCACTTTTTTTGCAGCAATCGGGATAAGGCCTTATCCTGCAAAGAACCACTGCGGCTTCTGTGTGGCTCAGCAAAAGGTTGCCGGTCAGGCTGCGTGACCCCACTTGGTGCCCGCTGAAGTCCGGCTCTTAACTGGGAACACCGGGAGGCCCCAGAGCTTGCAAATCCCTGTGGTTCTGCATCGGCCGCCCGCTAGCAAAGTGGCTAAGGCCTGGGGGTGGCAAGGTGCCCCCCCCGTCGCGGCTACATGCTGTTTGTGGTGCTGGTCTGCATGGGCCAGGTCTCGGGCCCGGCCAGTTGCAGGCTCTGGACTTGGACGTTCTGCTGTGTCTGCCAAAGCTGGTGCAGCTCTTTGAACTGTTCCACCATCTTGTCTTTGAGATCCGGGTGGGAGATCTGCAGGCGGACGCTGTCGGCTGACCAGCACAGCTCCCCAGAGAACATTTCCAACAGGAGACGCGCAGCTACTGGCACCACCTGCGGAGGAAAAGGGGGGTTCCGTCATTTTGTGCACAGGTGGAACAGCAGAGCAGCCTCGCTTTCATATATGCGGTGGAATGGTAAAATAATTACAGTGGTACCTCTGTATAAGTCCGCCCCGTCCAGCATCCATTTCAGTGGACGTCCGCGGCAAACCCAGAAGTACCAGAACGGGTTACTTCCAGGTTTGCCACTCGCACATGCGCAGAAGTGCTAAATTGTGCTTCGTGCATGCGCAGAAGCACAACCCGCTCCACACACGTGCGCAGAGCGGCGCTTTGTCGAGCGTCCTTTTAATTGAGTGTCCGGGACGGTGGAATGGTAAAATAATTACAGTGGTACCGCCGTATAAATCCGCCCCGACCAGCAGGGAAAAAAGGGAAAAAAATCTGGATATACATTTCCAAAACGTAAGATAAGAAACCAATACAGTGGTACCTCTGGTTAAGAACTTAATTCGTAACGGAGATCCGTTCTTAACCTGAAACTGTTCATAACCTGAGGTACCACTTTAGCTAATGGGGCCACCCGCTGCCGCCGCACGATTTCTGTTCTCATCCTGAAGCAAAGTTCTTAACCCGAGGTACTATTTCTAGGTTAGCCGAAGCATTCTGTAACCTGAAGTGTATGTAACCTGAAGTGTCTGTAACCCGAGGTACCACTGTAAAATAAAACAGTGTTTTGTGTTGTGTAGGCTCCTATGATGCAAGGCATGGGCTCCGCCTGCTCACCTGCTCCCTAAAATATCACAGGTTTGCTCACTTCTATATATAGAGTGCCTACATTATGCATGGACTGGTTGTAACAATTACTTTGATAAAATACATATTTTGTTATGTGCAAATGGCTTCAGATACCTATTAGGTCCATAAATAATTACCACATGGCACATATTCAACACACAAAAAAGCAACCATTTGTTGTTGACAAAGGACAGCTGGACATATCAAGGGCCCCATTACCTTCAGTAGCTTAGGGCCTCATCAAAACTTAAATCCAGCCCTGCCAGAACCCCCTTCTCCCAAAACCCGGAGAGCCTTGAAAGTAGGAGAGCAAAGAGCTCAAGATGAGTAAGGAAGTGGGAGAAAAAGGGGGCGGAGAGTCACTCGGGACAACGCCATTATTCCCAGAGGCTGCATTCCAAGCCTCTATCTGTAAATATTGAATAAAAAGCAGATGGCAAGGACTTTTCCTCGCCTTATCCGTTCCTGGCAAGCTGCCGTGAAGATTGGATCCTCTGCCGCCTGACACCAACTTCTGCTTGAAAACCTTCATGGACACACGTACCTCCTCCTGATTCACTGCATTTTTCGCTCTATAAGACACACCTTTTCCCTCTTAATAAGGGGAAATGTGTGTGCATCTTATGGAGTGAATGCAGGCTGGCATTTAGGGATAGCTGCGCAGCGCCTCTTCAGTGAAGCAGGAGGAGGAAAGTAAGGGACTCCGTACGGGGTAAGCCTGATCCTCCGTCCTCCTCCCTCTTCAACAACATTTGATTCAGAATATTTTTTTATTGTTTTCCTCCTCTTAAAAACTAGGTGCGTCTTATGGTCGGGTGCGTCTTACAGAGCAAAAAATACGGTATGTGGGCGGAAGGAGATGACGGACGGACGGGGACACACACACACACAAACAAACAAACACAGCCCTGCCATCCCACCTGGACTGTGATCAGCTTCTTCTCTTTAGGCTTCTGGTCCGGCCACTCCTCTCCGAAGCAGAAGAAAATCTCGTAGGGGGGTGGCGTGGTGCTCTGACCCTTCTGGAACATGATAAGTCCTATGGAGAGAGGACGGGAAGGACAATTTTTTTTAAAAAAATAAAGGAAATGGGAAGGGCCAGGAAGTATTGGCTGCCCATTGCGGAAGAGAAGAGGGCAAGGAGGGAACAGGGAACCAGAAAGAGGAAGGAGAGGAGAGAAAGTCATAGCAGGATGGTTGAAGGCTGCGAGCATCTCGAAGCGGGAACAGGTCGGCAGGGATGATGCAGCCAGGCAGTTTCCCCTCCCCAGCAGAAAAGACTGGCTGCTGGACCAAAGGCATCCTTAGCCCAGCATCTTGCTTCTGCTAGAAAAATGCAACCTGTGCTGATCACAGAAGTAGTGAGACTCATGCAACACTTTGGCAATTATTGTTGTTGTTGTTTAGTCGTTTAGCTGTGTCCGCCTCTTTGTGACCCCCTGGACCAGAGCACGCCAGCCACTCCTGTCTTCCACTGCCTCCCGCAGTTTGGTCACACTCATGCTGGTCTCTTCGAGAACACTGTCCCACCATCTCGTCCTCTGTCATCCCCTTCTCCTTGTGCCCTCCATCTTTCCCAACATCAGTGTCTTCTCCAGGGAGTCTTCTCTTCTCATGAGGTGGCCAAAGTCTTGGAGCCTCAGCTTCAGGATCTGTCCTTCCAGTGAGCACTCAGGGCTGATTTCCTCAGAATGGAGAGGTCTGATCTTCTTGCAGTCCATGGGACTCTCAAGAGTCTCCTCCAGCACCATAACTCAAACGCATCAATTCAGTTGGCGATTATACAAAACATTAAACAAAGCCACAAAGACTTGCGAGACAGGGTGCCAGCGTTTTGGGAGTGTGCTACCAGCCAGCCCAAGTTAATGGGCCTCATCGGGGGCGAACAGCGGCCTTCTGATTATTTGGACTGCCAGGGCGAAACAGGTGCAAAACGCCAGCACCCTGTCTCGCAAGTCTTTGTGGCTTTGTTTAATGTTTTGTATTTTTCTCAGAAGGTTGATAAAGTATGTATAATTATTGTTCTGTGTATATTAATCGCCAACGTGTTGCATGAGTCGCGCTACAAATGCCACAAAACAGCATGAAAACAACAAACATTATTTTCCCCTGTTGCCCCCTAGGCAAGATGGCTAGTGCACGCCTAGCCATGTCTACTCGGAAGTAAGTTGCACAATAGCCAAAGAGACAAAGCAAACCAGCCTCCCACCAACCTGGTGCGCTCCAGGCATGCGGGGCTAAAATTCCCATCAGCCTCAGCAAAGGTTGGCCAAGGCAGAACCAAATGTACAGGAATGTCATCATCATCATCATTTACATTTGTACCTATGGGACCGCCTCTCCTGGTCTGCCCCGCGGACGACCTTAAGGTCCACAAATGACAACACCTTGGAGGTCCCAAGTGGCAAGGTGGTTAGATTGGTCTCAACTAGGGCCAGGGCCTTTTCAGCACTGGCCCCGATGTGGTGGAACGCTCTGTCCCAAGAGACCAGGGCCCTGCGGGACTTGACATCTTTCCGCAGGACCTGCAAGACAGAGCAGTTCTGCCTGGCCTTTGATTTGGACTCGGTCTGACTCTTATGTTTCCCTCCCCTTATGGTTTTGATCTATGGGCTACTTTTAAAACGAGGCTGCATTGCATTTTAACCTGTATTTTTAATTGGTCCCCCCCCATTATGTTTTATTGTAATTTTATTGGTGTTAGCCACCCTGAACCCGGCTCTGGCCGGGGAGGGCAGGGTATAAATAAAAATTATTATTATTAAATGGTAACAATAAAAATGGCATTCCTGTGCATGATTCGCCAGCGGCTTGACCTCACCATGGAGGGGCACCCCATTGTCTCTCAAGACAGATGCCAACAACATTGGCACCCCACCTTTCCCCCCCAAAGAGCTCAAGGTGCCTTGCATAGTTTCTCCCCATTCCATCCTCACAACGACCCTGCGAGGTTGTTCTGTGCTGGGGAGAAAAGTGGCCTCACTCCTCCCCCCAGACCTGAATTCCCAGAGACTTCTTCCTCTGCACATCTGCTTGGCCCTGTGGGGTGACGGTGCCTCTGAGCATAGCTGTCAACTTACAGATTTGAAAATAAGGGACCAGCAGCCTCAGAAATAAGGGCTCAGCAGCCCAAATAAGGGAATTTTCAGAGCACAGGTAGGTTCGACTTCTGAGCCCCTCCGAGCCAAAGGCAGAAAGCCCAGCCAGCAGCCAAACGAAGCCTCAAGCGGTGGTTCCCACAGCGCAGCAACCCGGCAAAGGGGACGCAGCAAGGAAAACCACCGTCACCTCTCTGCTGGGAAGCGCTGAGCAAAGGCGAGTCCCCAGGCAACGCGGCCGATTTGATCGGCACAAGGCATGCAAGCTCCACCCCCCAGTCATTCTTAGACTCCTTATTGGGTGAGCAACGCAGCCAAGCAACACAGTTGGAGCCTCCCTCCTCCCTGGCCGGCAGGGAGGGAGGGAGAGGAGCTGCTTCCTTTGAAACCCAGGAAATTTAAGGGACATCATCAATAAGGGACAGCAGCGGGACACAGCACTGGGATAAGGGACTTTCCCGTCAAATAAGGGACGGTTGACAGCTATGCCTCTGAGCATGTTCAGAGAACCATTCCCGTTCCACCAAGCACCTGCCTTTGCCCTCGCCCCTTTCCCTCACCGTTAAGGAAGCTCTCCAGGCTGAAGAGCTTGATCTTCTTCTCGCGCTCGATGGGATTGGGGCCCGCCAGCTCCCCGGCGCAGGGCCCGGTCCAGAAGACCTTGCACTGGCAGAGGCGGATGGCGTAGATGTCCTGCCCCTGCAGCTCCAGGATGAGGCCCCGGTCCAAGACGTCCAGCAGCTGGTGGGTGTAGAAGCGCTGCTTCTCGTTGGGCACGCCCTCCGCGCTAGGGAAGCGCACCTGCTCCAGCGTCAGCGGCCCAAAGAGCTCCACCTGCTCCTGGGTGGGCTTCAGGTTGCTGTAGAAGAGGCGGCAGCCGTGGGGGTTGCTGATGGTCAGGGAGCCCACCGAGCGGCCACGGTACTGGAACTTGATCTCCAGGTCGGTCACTGCGGGAAGGCAAAAGCGTGTTTAGGCATTGCAACGGATCTTGTAGAAAGAACAGGCCCTGGATGCAGCCTTGGACTCCAGCTCCCATCATCCCTAACAGCCTTGGACTCCAGCTCCTATAATCTTTAACCGTGTTGGACTCCAGCTCCCATCATCCCTAACGGCCTTGGACTCCAGCTCCTATCATCCTCAATGGTGTTGGACTCAACTCCCATCAGCCCCAGATTCCTGTTCCTATCAGGTTGGGACTATCATCTTTAACAGTGTTGGACTCCAGCTCCCATCAGAATTGGACTCCAGCTCCCATCATCCCTAATGGCTTTGGACTCAGCCTTGGACTCCAGCTCCCATCAGCATTAGACTCCAGCTCCTATCATCCTTAACAGTGTTGGACTCCAGCTCCCATCAGCCTTGGATTCCAATTGGATTGAAGTTGTTGAGCTTTTTTTACAATTTTACCCCAAAGTTGTTGACCTTTTCCTAGGATTCAAGTTGTTGAGCTTTTGGGGGGGATTTTACCCCAGGAAATAAACTGCCACAGGGGTCGAATTAAACCGGAGTAGGCCCCCGAAAGGGACTTTGGACATCCCTGCTCTAATCCTAACACTACATTAGCCGCCGCGGCTATTTCCCCTTCCCAAAGGGTTTCGTGATTCCCGGCCGCCCTCCCGCTTCCTCCCCGCCGCGGGACGGATCCTTACATGGCAGCATGTGGGGGCTGATCAGCAAATCCGGGATGAACTGCTCCATGGGCGCCACCGGGCAGCCCCCCGGGCGCAGGGGCTCCAAGTCCGCCGACATGGGGACATCTCCTGGAACGAGGGGCATCGCTCCGGCCGGTTCAGCAAAGTTGGGCGCGGCGGGCTCCCCGCCTACCGCAAAAGCGCCGACGGGCGGAGGCGGAGGGGGAGCGTTCATGCGCGCCACGTGGGGGAAGGATCCGTTGGCGCAAGGGCCCGGGTACAAGGCCTCCTGCTTCAGCCACGGGTAGGGGGGCAGGGGCTCCACGCCGTGGGACGGATCTGCGGAAACGAGAGCCAAGCACGTATGAAATGTCAGGAAGGGATCTCAGGGGCAGGTATTATTATTATTATTATTAATAATAATAATGATAATGATAATGATAATTTATTATTTATACCCCGCCCATCTGGCTGAGTCTCCCCAGCCACTTTGGGCGGCTCCCAATCGAGTGTTAAAAACAATACAGCAGTAAATATTAAAAACTTCCCTAAACAGGGCTGCCTTCAGATGTCTTTTAAAGATAAGATAGCTGCTTATTTCCTTCACATCTGAAGGGAGGGCGTTACACAGGGCGGGCGCCACCACCGAGAAGGCCCTCTGCCTGGTTCCCTGCAACCTCACTTCTCGCTATGAGGGAACCGCCAGAAGGCCCTTGGAGCTGGATCTCAGTGTCCAGGCTGAAAGATGGGGGTGCCCCAAGACACGGCAGACCCCCCCGGAAGAAAGCAGGTGTCTTTTGCTAGCTGCACAAGAGGGGATGGGCAGGGCTGCTGGAATATAAAGTTCTTGACTGCTCAGAATCATCAGGGGTCGGCAACCTAAGGCCCCGGGGGCTGGATCCGGCCCAATCGCCTTCTCAATCCGGCCCGCGGACGGTCCGGGAATCAGCGTGTTTTTACATGAGTAGAATGTGTCCTTTTATTTCAAATGCATCTCTGGGTTATTTGTGGGGCATAGGAATTAGTTCATATTTTTTTCCAAAATATAGTCCGACCCACCACATGGTCTGAGGGATGGTGGACCGGCCCACGGCTAAAAAAATGTTGCTGACTCCTGGCTCAGATAGCCTGCTCCTGCTTCTGGGTGCTTTACAATGAGAACACGGGGTTATATCCAAGTAAGGCACTCACTCTCAGCCTAGCTTACCTCACAAGGTTGTAGTGAGGGTGATAAAGAGAGGAAGAAAACTATTTACACTGGCTTGAGCTCCCAGTACGTTTCCAAGCACAATTCAAAGTGTTGGTGCTGACCTTTAAAGCCCTAAACGGCCTCATCCCAGTAGACCTGAAGGAGCGTCTCCACCCCCATCGTCCAGCCCGGACACTGAGGTCCAGCTCCGAGGGCCTTCTGGCGGTTCCCTCGCTGCGAGAAGCCAAGTTACAGGGAACCAGGCAGAGGGCCCTGTGGAACACCCTCCTATCAGATGTCAATAAACAACTATCTGACTTTTAGAAGACATCTGAACGCAGCCCTGTTTAGGGAAGTTTTTAATGTTTGATGTTTTATTGCGTTTTTAAAATCCTGTGGGAAGCAGCCCAGAGTGGCTGCGGAGGCCTGGCCAGATGGGTGGGTTATAAGTAATAAAATAATAATAATAATAATAATAATAATAATAATAATAATAATACTTCTTGAAGGTGGGGTGTAAATGCAATACAGTAAATAATAGGGCCTACTCACCGCTTGTAAGGTCTCCTATGCAGTGCAAGAATTTCTGGACGTTTCTTGAGATGGTAATGTTGGAAATGACCATCAGGAGTGTGCAAGAGCAAAGTGTCACTCCAACTGGGTTAATGATCCATCCCTGTGCCCCCCCCAGCCCCCTCCCAGCACAGCCGCCTCCCCCCTCTGGCACTCTGGCACCCACCTGCAATTTGTAGCGTTGGCATCATCTTCTGCAACTGCAAATCAAGCAATTGGTGTTAGTGGCGGTGGGGAAAGACCTTGAGCCGAGATCCTGCTGGGGCACCTATGTTTGAAGACACCCTGGGCATCCCCAGGAAGCAGAACTAACCTCCCCTTGCACCCCAGTCGGACCCCCCTCTCTAGCTGAGATTCCTGCATTGAAGGGGGGTGGACTAGATGACCCTCGGGGTCCCCTTGCAAATCTGCCATTCTACAAGCTACTGAGCTCACTTTCCTGGGCCTCTTGGGTTTATCATCCTGCAAATCCAGGACTGCGAGGAGGCACTACAAATCCTCTAACGCAGCGGTTCTCAACCCGTGGGGTCTCCAGATGTTGTTGGACTACAACTCCCATCAACCCTGAGCTCTGGCCTTGCTAGCTAGGGGTGATGGGAGTTGTAGTTCAACAACATCCGGGGACCCACAGGTTGAGAAGGGCTGCTGTAACGGGAGCTGCGTGACGACAGCCTTGCAGTTCTATTTATATAGGAAGAAAAAAAATCTCTCTCTGTGTATATATGTAATATCTAAGCAATGTACACATTGCGTACAATATAAAAACAATAGCACAGCCCTAAAGATAATAAAAGCACAGAATGGAAAACACGCAAAGGCAAATTAAATGGAGTGTCAGGATAAATCAGTGTCCAAACCAGCCTTTGGAGCCTGGGAGGGGATGGCTATGAAACTGCTGGGAATATCTCCTCCCACATCTGCAGCTTTCAAAGTGGAGAAGGAGCCTGGACCAAAGGGCAGCGCCAAGAAAAATGGTGGTAAGTAGAGTTGTGGAAACTTCATCCAGATCTCCTGTTTGTGGGTCTCTTAGAAAGTAGGATCCTGGACCGGGAGGGACCTTGAATCTGGAAACCCAACCCATCAGGGTTGGCTGATCTGTCACCTCCCCTCCCGATGTTGTGGGACTCCAATTCCCATCACCTCCAGGGATGATAGGAGTTGTAGTCTAGCAAAAAAAAACACAAAACAAAACACAAAAAAACAACAACCCAGAAGGGCTGTTAGCTCCCCAGCCTCCCACATGCAGGGTTAATTGCTCAGAAGTGAGAAAAACCCTTATCTGCAGAACGCAGGAATGCGGAACTGAGGGAAAGGGAGGATCACTGAAAAATAAAATCCATGCAAACTTCGAGACTCTGGGCAGCTAAGCATTTCCTTCCATCTGCTAGAACATGGGCAGAGGTCCAACTACCACATGCCAGTGTCTGCAGTTTCCTCAAAGGACGAAAAATGATCAGAAAGAGAAAGCGAGTAGGTCATTCTTCCTTACCTCCTCCTCTTCTTCAGGGCCGATGTTCTCATCTCCAGCGAAAGGCTCTGAGGGAGGGGGGGAAATAAATGTTGTACGTTCCCCAAAGCCTCTTTGTTGAGCTTTACGTGTCCCCCCACCTGAATTATCCTCCCCCCCCCAAATGTAAAAACAGAAAGGTTTACAGCACAGGGGTTGTGAGGAAAGGACTGACTCTCAAAACTATGGCAGTATCTGGGCGACTTTTGCAAATCATGTTGTGTGCATGTGAGAGAGAAGGAGGGGAGACTGGGAGACTTGTTACCCAACTTATCTTCAACAAATTCATAGCGACTGCAGAAAATGAATTTTGCTGAAGGTCTGGAGAGGCGAGGAAGCAGGCGCGAGGGGCCAGCTCAAGTCATTTGGGCGCCAAGGAAGATACGCCATGCAAGATGCTCTCGCCCACTCGGGCAAAGGCAGGCGGGCAACTTTCAGGGGCACTGCGGCTACCTTGAGCTGCTCGACTGGGGGGGGGAACCTCCCACCCCCCAGCTGAGCGAGCCCCAATGCCTCTTGGCATCATGTCCCCCAGCTGAGCAGTTTAAGGAAGCCCCCATGTTCCTCCAGAGCAATATGGGGGCTTGCTTGCCATGTAGGGCTAAGCAATGCATCCCGGCTGCTTCCTCCTTCCCTATGGTGGGAAGATGGAAGAGGCAGCCAAGATACATTCCAGACATTGTGACGTATCAGCACATCGCCCTGTGAGCCGCGTCACGATGTTGAAAACTGGATATTGCCCAGCCCTAGAAGCAATCCCATCCCTGACCCACCCCTCCAAGAATGGAAGGAAATAGGTCTGTGGTTCCAGATGCAATCTATATTTGTTCCAAACTTTATATAACGCACCTCTTAATATATGATTTGTAAATTATTTATTGACTTTTACTTTCTCATAATTAAGATACGCATGCCATCCGTACCTATTATTAAAACTTTCAAGATCGAATATCTTAGTTTTTTCCAATCTAACCCAATCTCTTACCCAAATGAAACATTCTGCTTCATAATATAATTTTAAATTTGGCACTGTTAATCCTCCCCTTTCCTTTCTTCCTGTCAATCATTTATATTTTATCCGCGGGTTTTTTCCTTGCCATACGAATCTCGTTATATCTTTCCTCCCTTCTTCAAAGCAATTCTCTTTATTCATAATTGGTATCGTTTGGAACAAATATAGCATTTTGGCAGGACATTCATTTTAATTATGGAGTCTTTTCCCCATATTTATTGAAAACCAATAAATAAATAAAAGAATAGAAGGAAATAAGACCATGGTGTTGTTATCTGTGGGGCACATGTTCAGGGCCGTCTTAAGCATATCTGGCGCTGTGGTGCGAAGATCCCTCCGGCGCCCCCCATTTTCCAGAGCTGCCGACCTTTTTTAGGGAGGACGGCACTGCTAGCGATGCACCCAGTTTTGCGGGGCTGGAGGACAGCTCCTCCGGCAGGGAAGAGGTGGAGACTGGACGTGGCGACTCCCGGTTCAGCTGGACCCTTCGTGCCACGGTGGCCATGGCAGATGGAGGCTCCCGGCGCGGCGCTGCTTCAGTGTGGTGCGGCAGAGGCGGCGAGCTGATGCTGGGAGGCGCCGCGCCCAACCTCCAGCTCTTTCCCTGGCGCCCTCCAGAACTTGGCGCCCTGGCATAGCTGTCAACTTACAGATTTGAAAATAAGGGACCAGCAGCCTCAAAAATAAGGGATCAGCAGCCAAAATAAGGGATTTTAGTCAACCAGCAGCCAAACGAAGCCTCAAACGGTGGTTCCCACAGCGTAGCAACCCGGCAAAGGGGATGCAGCAAGGAAAACCACCGTCACCTCTCCGCTGGGAAGCGCTGAGCAAAGGCGAGTCCCCAGGCAACGCAGCCCATTTGATCGGCACAAGGCATGCAAGCTCCACCCCCGTCATTCTTAGACTTCTTATTGGGTGAGCAACGCAGCCAAGCAACACAGTTGGAGCCTCCCTCCTCCCTGGCCGGCAGGGAGGGAGGGAGGGAGAGGAGCTGCTTCCTTTGAAATCCAGGAAATTTAAGGGACATCATCAATAAGGGACAGCAACGGGACACGGCGCTGGGATAAGGGAGTTTCCCGCCAAATAAGGGACGGTTGACGGCTATGCGCCCTGCGCCACTAGCCTCTATGGGTAAGACGTCCCCACTGCTGTGCCAGGTCAAGCAGGTTTCCACAGGGCTTCAAAAGCCAGCCGGACCTGTTTGACCAGCTATGGCAAGGGGGCAAAGCTGCCAAGCATCTCACAGGCAACACATTCGGCTCCCGGGGGTGGCAGGGAGGAGCATGAAGGGGTTTTTGTCTGTCTTCCGGAGCCGGCAGACGGGCAGCTTCCCACTTTTGCTTCGGGGAGGGGTGGGGAGAAAGGGCTCGGGAAACGGCTCTTTTTAGGGAGCAGCAGGAAAGTTGGGGTTTGCAAGCGCACAGGGGGCGGCTGGTACCTCCGTTGGGCTGTGGGGCATCGCAAACCTCGTAGATCTTGAAGGCCTGCATGGGGGTGTCCTTGGTGCCGTCGTAAATCAGGTTAAATTCGCGGCTCTTGTTGAGGGCACAGCGCAGGTTGGCTTTCCACTTGGCAGGGTCTGGCTCGTCGACGCCTTCATTGTATTTTCCCGTCTCTTTGGCCCAGGCCTGGGAAAAGGACCGACAGGACACAGGGCAGAGGAGATTTAAAACACCACCACCTGAGAGTGCCCATTTTAAGAACCGATATCCAGTGCCACCCTCACACATCCCCACATGCAACAGTGATAGAATCAGTAACAATAATTTGTAGTTATTAATGGTGTTTCTGTGTCGTTTGGATGATGATGATTTTCATCTTTTTTTATTGGTTTTCATCTATTACATTACAATACAGATGTACCAAAACCAACACCATTTCCTCCCCATCCCCCCATACATTTACATTTATATTTCCTCAGTCCAACATATTATTCTTTTCTCCTTCCTCCCACTTGTCTTTTCCCCCACTCGATTTCCTCCACATTATACAATTTACAATAATCTTTGCATTCTACAATCTTCTCAAATCACCTATATATTCTTATTATCTTTCCTTACTAATTTTTCTTCCATCCAGTACTTCACATTTTAATCTAGGCACATTAGCGTATTTTTTTTGAGCAATATTTTGCCATATATTCATCAAAACAATTTCCACTCCTTTTTAAATTTTTGATTCGACTGATTTCTTATTACAGCAGTTAATTTTGCCAAAATTAAATATTCATTTAGTTTCTAAATCCATTCCTCCTTTGTGGGTATAGTTTGCGACTTCCACCTGGCAGCAATCTCTATTCTAGCAGCTGTACTTGCATATAGAAAAATCCCCCCCCCCGTGGTATCTCATCATCTATCAATCCAAAGAGATATGCCTCTGGTTTCTTTGTTATTGATATTATCAACATCTTCTTTAGTTTTTCATGTAAATTATTATTATTATTATTATTATTATTATTATTATACATAGAATAGAATCATAGAATCATAGAGTTGGAAGAGACCACAAGGGCCATCGAGTCCAACCCCCTGCCAAGCAGGAAACACCATCAGAGCACTCCTGACATATGGTTGTCAAGCCTCTGCTTAAAGACCTCCAAAGAAGGAGACTCCACCACACTCCTTGGCAGCAAATTCCACTGTCGAACAGCTCTTACTGTCAGGAAGTTCTTCCTAATGTCTAGGTGGAATCTTCTTTCTTGTAGTTTGGATCCATTGCTCCGTGTCCGCTTCTCTGGAGCAGCAGAAAACAACCTTTCTCCCTCCTCTACGTGACATCCTTTTATATATTTGAACATGGCTATCATATCACCCCTTAACCTCCTCTTCTCCAGGCTAAACATGCCCAGCTCCCTTAGCCGTTCCTCATAAGGCATCATTTCCAGGCCTTTGACCATTTTGGTTGCCCTCCTCTGGACACGTTCCAGTTTGTCAGTGTCCTTCTTGAACTGTGGTGCCCAGAACTGGACACAGTACTCCAGGTGAGGTCTGACCAGAGCAGAATGTTGTTGTTGTTGTTGTTTAGTCGTTTAGTCGTGTCCGACTCTTCGTGACCCCATGGACCAGAGCACGCCAGGGACTCCTGTCTTCCACCGCCTCCCGCAGTTTGGTCAGGCTCATGTTTGTAGCTTCGAGAACACTATCCAACCATCTCATCCTCTGTCGTCCCCTTCTCCTTGTGCCCTCCATCTTTCCCAACATCAGGGTCTTTTCCAGGGAGTCTTCTCTTCTCATGAGGTGGCCAAAGTATTGGAGCCTCAACTTCACGATCTGTCCTTCCAGTGAGCACTCAGGTCTGATTTCCTTAAGAATGGATGCGTTTGATCTTCTTGCAGTCCATGGGACTCTCAAGAGTCTCCTCCAGCACCATAATTCAAAAGCATCAATTCTTCGGCGATCAGCCTTCTTTATGGTCCAGCTCTCACTTCCATACATCACTACTGGGAAAACCATGGCTTTAACTATACGGACCTTTGTTGGTAAGGTGATGTCTCTACTTTTTAAGATGTTGTCTAGATTTGCCATCGCCTTTCTCCCAAGGAGCAGGCGTCTTTTAATTTCGTGACTGCTGTCACCATCTGCAGTGATCATGGAGCCCAAGAAAATAAAATCTCTCACTGCCTCCATTTCTTCCCCTTCTATTTGCCAGGAGGTGATGGGACCAGTGGCCATGATCTTCGTTTTTTTTATGTTGAGCTTCAGACCATATTTTGCGCTCTCCTCTTTCACCCTCATTAAAAGGTTCTTTAATTCCTCCTCACTTTCTGCCATCAAGGTTGTGTCATCTGCATATCTGAGGTTGTTGATATTTCTTCCGGCAATCTTAATTCCGGCTTGGGATTCATCCAGCCCAGCCTTTCGCATGATGAATTCTGCATATAAGTTAAATAAGCAGGGGGACAATATACAGCCTTGTCGTACTCCTTTCCCAATTTTGAACCAATCAGTTGTTCCATATCCAGTTCTAACTGTAGCTTCTTGTCCCACATAGAGATTTCTCAGGAGACAGATGAGGTGATCAGGCACTCCCATTTCTTTAAGAACTTGCCATAGTTTGCTGTGGTCGACACAGTCAAAGGCTTTTGCATAGTCAATGAAGCAGAAGTAGATGTCTTTCTGGAACTCTCTAGCTTTCTCCATAATCCAGCGCATGTTTGCAATTTGGTCTCTGGTTCCTCTGCCCCTTCTAAATCCAGCTTGCACTTCTGGGAGTTCTCGGTCCACATACTGCTTGAGCCTGCCTTGTAGAATTTTAAGCATAACCTTGCTAGCGTGTGAAATGAGTGCAATTGTGCGGTAGTTGGAGCATTCTTTGGCACTTCCCTTCTTTGGGATTGGGATGTAGACTGATCTTCTCCAATCTTCTGGCCACTGCTGAGTTTTCCAAATTTGCTGGCATATTGAGTGTAGCACCTTAACAGCATCATCTTTTAAAATTTTAAATAGTTCAGCTGGAATACCATCACTTCCACTGGCCTTGTTATTAGCAATGCTTTCTAAGGCCCATTTGACTTCACTTTCCAGGATGTCTGGCTCAAGGTCAGCAACCACACTACCTGGGGTATATGAGACATGCATATCTTTCTGGTATAATTCCTCTGTGTATTCTTGCCACCTCTTCTTGATGTCTTCTGCTTCTGTTAGGTCCTTTCCACTTTTGTCTTTTATTATGGAAATCTTTGTACAAAATGTTCCTTTCATATCTCCAATTTTCTTGAACAGATCTCTGGTTTTTCCCATTCTATTGTTTTCCTCTATTTCTTTGCATTGCTCATTTAAGAAGGCCTTCTTGTCTCTCCTTGCTATTTTTTGGAAATCTGCATTCAATTTCCTGTATCTTTCACTATCTCCCTCGCATTTTGCTTGCCTTCTCTCCCCCGCTATTTGTAAGGCCTCGTTGGACAGCCACTTTGCTTTCTTGCATTTCCTTTTCATTGGGATGGTTTTAGTTGCTGCCTCTTGTATAATGTTACGAGCCTCCATCCATAGTTCTTCAGGCACTATGTCCACCAAATCTAAATCCTTAAACCTGTTCCTCACTTCCACTGTGTATTCATAAGGGATTTGACTTAGATTGTATCTTACCGGCCCAGTGGTTTTTCCTACTTTCTTCAGTTTAAGCTTGAATTTTGCTATAAGAAGCTGATGATCTGAGCCACAGTCAGCTCCAGGTCTTGTTTTTGCTGACTGTATAGAGCTTCTCCATCTTTGGCTGCAGAGAATATAATCAATCTGATTTCGATGCTGCCCATCTGGTGATGTCCATGTGTAGAGTCGTCTCTTGTGTTGTTGGAAAAGTGTGTTTGTGATGACCAGCTTGTTCTCTTGACAGAACTCTATTAGCCTTTGCCCTGCTTCGTTTTGAACTCCAAGGCCAAACTTGCCAGTTGTTCCTTTTATCTCTTGATTCCCTACTTTAGCATTCCAATCCCCTATAATGAGCAGAACATCCTTCTTTGGTGTCATTTCTATAAGTTCTTGTAAGTCTTCATAGAATTGGTCAATTTCAGTTTCTTCAGCACCAGTAGTTGGTGCATAAACTTGGATTACTGTGATGTTAAAAGGTCTGCCTTGGATTCGTATTGAGATCATTCTATCATTTTTGAGATTGCATCCCAGTACAGCTTTTGCCACTCTTTTGTTGACTATGAGGGCCACTCCATTTCTTTTACGGGTTTCTTGTCCACAGTAGTAGATATGATAGTCATCCAAACTGAATTCGCCCATTCCCGTCCATTTTAGTTCACTGATGCCCAATATGTCAATATTTATTCTTGCCATCTCATTTTTGACCACATCCAACTTACCCAGGTTCATGGTTCTTACATTCCAGGTTCCTATGCAATATTTTTCTTTACAGCATTGGACTTTCCTTTCGCTTCCATGCATATCCGCAACTGAGCGTCCTTTCGGCTTTGGCCCAGCCGCTTCATCAGCTCTGGATCTACTTGTACTTGTCCTCCGCTCTTCCCCAGTAGCATGTTGGACACCTTCCGACCTGAGGGGCTCATCTTCCAGCGTCATAACTTTTATATGCCTGTTGTCTTTGTCCATGGAGTTTTCTTGGCAGGGATACTGGAGTGGCTTGCCAGTTCCTGCTGCAGGTGGATCACGTTTGGTCAAAACTCTCCACTATGACCTGTCCATCTTGGGTGGCCCTGCACGGCATAGCTCATAGCTTCTCTGAGTTATTCAAGCCCCTTCGCCACGGCAAGGCAGTGATCCATGAAGGAGCAGAATACAGTGGCACTATTACTTCCCTTGATCTAGATGCTATACTCCGATTGATGCAGCCCAGAATTGCATTGGCGTTTTTAGCTGCCGCGTCACACTGTTGGCTCATGTCAAGTTTGTGGTCCCAGAAAGGGACTCAAGGCCGCTTACGAATTAAAAACCACACAGATAAAACACAGAAAGCCAAAAAATAAATAAATAAAAATGCAGAGAAGATTGTTAAAAAATGATTAAACTCTAATCAGAGTAAAACAGTATAAAAAACCATCATTCTGTATTTTTGTTATGGCACTTTACACTTTTCGTACTTCTAAATCAGGTTACCTACCACCCTGATATTTTATATGAGGAGCGAACTGTAAATATGCCTATCGGTAAACAATTTTCATTTATTTTGACACCGTCGTTATATTAATGCCCGCTAGAGGTACGCTAATGTGCTTTCTCCTTTATGTATTTATAATTGTCAACATATTTTGCTTATAGGTTTTCTAAAAATGTAATTTTAATTTTTCCTTTTTAAAAAAAAATGCAGGAAGATTTTATAGACGTGTATGAAGTGCCAAACCACACAACTCAACCCCCCCTCAAAAAAATCCTGGTGTTGTTTATATTCAAAAACGATCTCTATGCTACCTTTCCAACCTGCCGGGGTGCAGATAAATAAAAATATAAGCATATGTATAAATATTTTAAAGAAAGCAATAAAAAGGTGAAGCAAGATCTAAATGGCAACATCGCGGAGAGCCGTCGGACGAAAGTTTTCCCCAGCTAACTCTAAAAACTCTGCAGAATAAAAACACCTTTTTTTTTACGCCCTGCCAGGACCTGACCAGGTGAGTCCCCTTCATGGCGTGGATTCTGCAAAATGGCGGCTGCTCCGGAGAACTCCCCCCTCCCGTTCCTCGTTACCATGGCAACCCTTCGGCCTAACCCCAGACCAGCCTTTCCCAACCTGGTGCCCTCCAGATGTTGTTGCCGGGCTGTATCTCCCACCAGGCACCACGGAGACCCCCAACAACATCTGGGGGGCTGCCTGCCTGCGGGACCCCTCAGCCCCACATGAAAAACAACACTTTTGACATGCCCATGCGCTCCTCATTGTCACATGGCGCACTGAGGGCCTATGTCCAAGTAGGTGCCATCTTGGATGGGGAAAAAAATCCCTCCTTTGTGAGGTGAAGAGGCGTCTCTTCCAATAGGGCGCTCTCAGTATTTTGCATAAATACTTGAAGTAACAAATTAATTGGCGTTTGGTTTTCTAGTGTTTCCCAAACCCAGTGTTTCCCAAACTTCGATCTCCAGCTGTTTTTGGACTCCCACAACTCTCATCATCCAGCGGTCAGGAATGATGGGAGTCCCAAGTTTGGGAAACACAGATCTAACCATGTTTTAATAATAATAATAATAATAATAATAATAATAATAATTTTATTTATACTCTGCCCTCCCCGGCCAGAGCCGGGCTCAGGGCGGCTAACACCAGTAAAATTACAGTAAAATCATAATAGGAAAAAAACCCCAATTTAAAATACAGGTTAAAATGCAGCCTCATTTTAAAGTAGCCGATAAATCAAGACCGTAAGGGGAGGGAAACATAAGAGTCAGACTGAGTCCAAACCAAAGGCCAGGCGGAACAGCTCCGTCTTGCAGGCCCTGCGGAAAGATGTCAAGTCCCTCAGGGCCCTAGTCTCTTGGGACATCAGAGCGTTCCACCACGTCGGGGCCAGCACTGAAAAGGCCCTGGCCCTAGTTGAGAACAATCTAACCACCTTGCGGCTTGGGACCTCCAAGGTGTTGTCATTTGTGGACCTTAAGGTCCTCCGTGGGGCATACCAGGAGAGGCGGTCCCGTAGGTATTATTGCATTTATACCCTACCTTTTTCTCCCCCTCGTTTAATCGCCACAACAACCCTGTGAGGTAGGTTAGAGCCGACAGCCAGCGTCAGTCTCCCAAGGGCAAGTGGGGATTCGAACCCTGGTCTCCCAGGTCCTGATCTGACACTCTATAAGCCAGTGTTTCCCAAACTTCGGTCTCTGGCTGTTTTTGGACTACAACTCCCATCGTCCAGTGGTCATGAATGATGGGAGTTGTAGTCCAACAACAGCTAGAGACCCAGGTTTGGGAAGCACTCTAAGCCAAGCTGGTTTAACGGTTGCAGCCCTAATTCCTACTTTTTAAAAAAGGCACTGTTATGTGGGATATAGCAGGGAATTTTAGCCGGCAAGCTAGATCTCTCCCTTCTCACGCACCTTGAATATGGTGTTTTCGTCGTCCTGGCTGGGGATGTGGCGGGTGGCGTGGCGCCAGGGAATGAAGAAGCGCTTTCTCTCGGCATCCACCCAGCGGAGTCCCGGGTACTGACCGCTGTTGACTTGGGCCACCAGCCAGGGCTTCAGGCGGACGCGGCGGGGATGCGAGCTCATGGCGGCGTCACCGGAGGGACGACTGACCGACTGCCCGACCTGCAAGGAGAAAGCAGAATTGGTCAGGAAGCGCATGGCCTCCGAGGGGAAAAGCACTCGCGACTTCATGGTTAGATCACTGCACTGCGCTTTTTGTGGGGGTTCCCTTGCATTCGATCTGAAAGCTGCAGGAAATGCATCATCATCATCATCATTTTTAATTTCTACAAAATGGCAAGTCTCCTGGTCCAGCTGGATTAACGGCAAAGTATTATAAAAAACTAAGTGAACAATTGGCAAACCCATTGAAAGATGTTATGAATGAGATTTTAAATACAGGTGAAATTCCAGAAACATGGAGAGAGGCTTATATTACAGTAATTCCAAAACAAGATTCAGATTTGCTGCAAATTAAAAATTATAGGCCTATCTTGTTAAATAATGATTCTAAATTATTTGCAAACATTTTAGCCAATAGAATGAAAAAAAAATAAAAATCAAATGAGTATATACATCAAGATCAGGCAGGATTCCTTCCAGGCAGACAAATGAAAGAGAATATAAGAAATATTCTGAATGTAATAGAATACCCGGAGGTCAAAAATGAAAATGATGCAGCAATGATGTTTACAGTTGCCGAAAAAGCCTTTGACAATGTCTCTTGGAATTTCATGACAAAATTCCTTGAAGAAATTAATGGTGGATTCAAATTTTGAAAAGGAATACAAGCAATTTATGCAGAACCAAAAGCCAACTTATTTGTAAATCAGGTGATAACGGATGATTGTAAGATACAAAAAGGAACTAGACAAGGTTGTCCACTATCACCCCCACAATTGCCAGTTTGGGGGGGGCGGACGTTGCTGCTGCTTCTTTGGCAGTTGCCATTGGCTGTGGACCGTGATGTCAGTGGGTTTATGCAGTCTTTTTTCCTGGGGGGACGCAAGAGCATGTTGTTGTTGTTTAGTTGTTTAGTCGTGTCCGACTCTTCGTGACCCCCTGGACCAGAGCACGCCAGGCACTCCTGTCTTCCACTGCCTCCCACAGTTTGGTCAAACTCATGCTGGTAGCTTCGAGAACACTGTCCAACCATCTCGTCCTCTGTCGTCCCCTTCTCCTCGTGCCCTCCATCTTTCCCAACATCAGGGTCTTTTCCAGGGAGTCTTCTCTTCTCATGAGGTGGCCAAAGTATTGGAGCTTCAGCTTCAGGATCTCTCCTTCCAGTGAGCACTCAGGGCTGATTTCCTCAGGAATGGATAGGTTTGATCTTCTTGCAGTCCATGGGACTCTCAAGAGTCTCCTCCAGCACCAGAATTCAAAAGCATCCATTCTTCGGCGATCAGCCTTCTTTATGGTCCAGCTCTCACTTCCATACATCACTACTGGGAAAACCATAGCTTTAACTATACAGTGGTACCTCATGTTAAGTACTTAATTCGTTCCAGAGGTCCGTTCTTAACCTGAAACTGTTCTTAACCTGAAGCACCACTTTAGCTAATGGGGCCTCCTGCTGCTGCCGCGCCGTTGGAGCCCAATTTCTGTTCTTATCCTGAAGCAAAGTTCTTAACCTGAAGCACTATTTCTGGGTTAGCGGAGTGTGTAACCTGAAGCGTATGTAACCCGAGGTACCACTGTACGGACCTTTGTTGGCAAGGTGATGTCTCTGCTTTTTAAGATGCTGTCTAGGTTTGTCATCGCTTTTCTCCCAAGAAGCAGGCGTCTTTTAATTTTGTGACTGCTGTCATGAAAGGTGCACGCATACCCCTAAATATTTTGAAGCCTGCCCTAAAACCCTTTGAAATCCTCCAGCCGGGAAGCACAAAAATTCCATCCTGAAACATCTCCTCCCGATCTCCTCCAGCCTGTTCTTTGCAGCCAGTCCGTTAAGTGTTGGTTTGGGGAACCTTCCTTCTTAGGAGGAAGGACAGAAAACAACCTTACCCAGGTAGACAGTGATGGTGAGAATCCTTCTTCTCTTAATAGCAGCCACCAGGCTCCTTTCCTCTCCGCCAGGGGCCTCGCAAGCTTCTAAGGCATGCCACACATTTTAAGCCGAGGGATGACTCTAATCTCCGCAGATGACTCAGAACCTCCCAGTTCTGGTTCCACAGGTGTGACAGCTACAATGCGGAGCAGAAAACAGGGAAATCCCCGACAGTCACCAGCTGCAACGGAGACACAAACTCTCCGCTGAGTATTACGCTTGAGTCAGGAATAAGAGAAGCCACCACTCTCCCCTGACCTCCATCCACAACACTGTTATAGGAATTCTAAGGTCTCATATATATATATAAATCATATGTTCATCAATGTACAAGGCAAACACCTACATAAGTATGTGAACCACGTGTCTGAAACAGTACAGGAGAGCAATCCTGAGGCCATTTTGACTCTCCCAGTGACCTCAGATATTCCTCTGCAGGAAGGGAGGCAAATGGGGAAAGCCTCCCCACTGTCTTTTTGCTTGCAAATCCTGTCTTAAGGGCGTATTTGCGTATGAATAGGGTGAGCCTGTGACCTGGAGTCAGGAACTAAAGTATTTACTATCACAAAAGAATAGCCAGGTTGCCCAGGTAATGCAATCAGTGACCATTATCAGGTGTCCTGGCAGGCAGGACTTCTGCTGGAGACCGCCTCCTTCTGTGATGTATGCATGATGTTTCGGGGGGGGGGGTCTTGGGCTACAGGGTGGGCAATTTCAAACGTCTATATAAGGGCTTGCGCACCATTGTTCGGGGTTCCTCCTCCCTCCTGCGTGGGGTGAGCGGGTTTGACAAAGATCGGGCTTACTAGCTGCTTTGCTTCTCAATATTCTCTGGTTGGCCTCTGTTATTTTCTCCTACCAATAGTGAACCCACTTACGGAATCTATATGGGCTCTTGGGTACCCCATAAGGGGAAAGGAGCAGTTTTTTCTTATAACAACACCTTCCGGCGTTGGTCACTGGATTTCCTTTTCCACCTCGGAAAATATTCAGGCAACCAGGCAACTCCCAGACTTTTAGAAGACATCTGAAGGCAGCCCTGTTTAGGGAAGCTTTTAATGTTTGATGTATTACGGTATTTTAATATTTTGTTGGAAGCCGTCCAGAGTGGCTGGGAAAGCCCAGCCAGATGGGCGGGGGTATAAATAATAAATTATTATTATTATTATTATTATTATTATTATTATTATTATTATTATTATATCAAAAGAAGAAGCAGTGACACAGCCTCAGAAACCCACAGAGCTCCTGAGCCGAACCCTGAAAAGACCACCGTGGCGTGTGAACGAGAAAGGGGCCGCAATCTTGTTGCACGGTCGGAAATCAATCATGCTTTAAAAAAAAAAAGTGAAAGTGGCTGTGTGTGTAATGCACATTTAGAGCACACCCAACCCAACAAGCATCATGGGAACTGTAGTTCACCCTGGATAAGGCTGCAATTCCCAGCACGCTTAAACAAACCGCTGAGTCTCCTTGCCTTGGTTTCAGGACGCAGCCGCGACGGTTTCTTCTGATGATTTTTTGCAGCTGGCAACTTGCAAACAGCTTTAAGCCCCGGGGATCAGACAGATCCACAAAGGTGTCCGAGGGGGTGGGTCGGGGGGGGGGGAGAAGTTGCTCTCTGTGGAAAAATCCCAGCTCCCTGCGATTAGCAGCAGTATCAGGAGCTGAGGAGACTTAAATGCCAAGGCTACGCATTCTTCTCTGTAGATTCCCTGGGGCATTCCTGCGCCTCAGGACGACTCCCAAACACCTAGACTGTGCTCGCCAAACCAGTCTTTTCGCTCCAGCAAAACTTTGCTTTCTCCTTGCGGTGTTGCATGGTTCCTTTGCAGCCTGATCAGAAGAGCGTGCTTGAATCGTGCTGGTTTTACTCCAAAAGGACGGTTACGTCCTCATTCCTTTCTAGCACTTGTATCTTGTCCTATCTATCATCTATCTATCTATCTATCATCTATCTATCTATCTATCTATCATCTATCTATCATCTATATCTATCTATCTATCTATCTATCTATCTATCATCTATCTATCTATCTATCTATCTATCTATCTATCTATCTATCATCTATCTATCATCTATCTATCTATCTATCTATCTATCTATCTATCATCTATCTATCTATCTATCTATCTATCATCTATCTATCATCTATCTATCTATCTATCATCTATCTATATCTATCTATCATCTATCTATCTATCATATGGTTACCAGATTTTTTTCAATGAATCCGGGGACACTTTTTTTTTAAAAAAAAAAGCTGAGTAGAATTCATGAGAAGAGAAGACTCCCTTGAAAAGACCCTGATGTTGGGAAAGATGGAGGGCACAAGGAGAAGGGGACGACAGAGGACGAGATGGCTGGACAGTGTTCTCGAAGAGACCAACATGAGTTTGACCAAACTGCAGGAGGCAGTGGAAGACAGGAGAGCCTGGCGTGCTCTGGTCCAGGGGGCCACGAAGAGCCGGACACGACTAAATGACTAAATGACTAAACAACAACAACAACAACAACAACAGAATTGATGCTTTTGAATTATGGTGCTGGAGGAGACTCTTGAGAGTCCCATGGACTGCAAGAAGATCAAACTGATCCATTCTGAAGGAAATCAGCCCTGAGTGCTCACTGGAAGGACAGATCCTGAAGCTGAGGCTCCAAGACTTTGGCCACCTCATGAGAAGAGAAGACTCCCTGGAAAAGACCCTGATGTTGGGAAAGATGGAGGGCACAAGGAGAAGGGGGCGACAGAGGACGAGATAGTGGGACAGTGTTCTCGAAGCTACCAGCATGAGTTTGACCAAATTGCAGGAGGCAGTGGAAGACAGGAGGGCCTGGCATGCTCTGGTCCATGGGGTCACGAAGAGGCGGACACGACTAAACAAACAAAACAAGGAAAAGCAAGACATTCCGGGATCAAATCAGAAACCGGGACGGCTTCTGCAAATCCCTGGAAAATAGGGGCACGTGTTTGCGTGTGCCCATTCTATACTGGCACTTTAGTTTTGTTTTATACCAGAAAACATCGGCCGTTTTGAAACCAGAAATGAACCAGAAGTCCTTGACCTTCCCCTTTTCAGTTCTCTGAGCTCCCTAGGAAGAAAGAATTATTTTGAAACTGCGTTGGTGGTTTTGTGTTTCCCCCGTATGGCGACTGCTGGGCAAAAGCCACATGGCTTCCTTCCGGAGGAGCTTCATTTAACATAGGGCCTGGCTGCTGGATCCGACCAAAGGCAGCCCAGGTAGACCAGTGCCCTGTTTGCAGAGGGACTGACTAAATGCCCATGATGGGAAGATCAACAGCGGAAACCAAGCACAAGAGCATATCTCTGCACTTGGGATTCCCAGCTACTGTGACAGAGGACGACGAGATCTGCCTACTGGATTAGACCAATCAGAAGCCTGTCTGGAAGCCGCAGGAGGATTTCTTCAAAAGAACCCTCCCCTAGCAACTGGGATTTTGATGTCTTTGTGGCCTTTGCATACCTTCCAACACGGTGAAGCCAAAAGCTGGGACACCATCTTCTCATAATTATTTTTTAGTGCAACACAATTTCCCCTCCAAAAAAACACCACGTGTGCCTTAAGAGAGAATATTATGAAAATGATATACAGGTGGTACATGACCCCAGTCAAGCTAGCAAAAATCTATCACTTGCCCGATAATAAATGTTGGAAATGTAAAGAAACTGAAGGTACATTTTTTCACCTTTGGTGGACGTGCCCAAGGATTAAGGCTTTCTGGGAGATGATATATAATGAATTGAAAAAGGTATTTAAATATACCTTCTTGAAGAAACCAGAGGCCTTTCTCTTGGGCATAGTCGGCCAATTGGTGTTAAAGAAGGATAGAACTTTCTTTATGTACGCTACAACAGCAGCAAGAATACTTATTGCAAAGTATTGGAAGACACAAGATTTACCCACTCTGGAAGAATGGCAGATGAAGGTGAAGGACTACATGGAGTTGGCGGAAATGACTGGCAGAATCCGAGACCAGGGAGAAGAGTCGGTGGAAGAAGACTGGAAGAAATTTAAAGACTATTTACAGAGATACTGTAAAATTAATGAATGTTAGAATGATGTTGGATTGAAATTAAGTGGTTTCTAGCTAATGGTATAAAAGAATATGAAAAAATGGTTTTTTATAAGTAAAAATTTAATGTTATAATAATTTAAGATTAAAGATCTGGGTAGAATAAAGAGGGAAAGAAACTGCTGAGCTAATAAATTGAACTGGAATACAAAAAAGGGAGGTACGAGGAGGTCCGGGAAACAAGTAAATGAAAAATAATGTGATGAAAAGATTGATTGTTTTTAACTACTTTTATTTTGTATTTTGTATTTTTTCTTTTTCTATTTTGTAATGTAAAAACCCTAATAAAAATTTTATAAAACAAAAAACAAAAAAACACCACGTGCTTTGGGGCGCCATGCGAGATCACAGCCCTGGGGGAAAGCACTTTTTTCAAGGGGAGAATCGTGCTGAGAAATCACGTCAAACAAAATGGCCTCCGTGCTCTTGCGATAAAAACCAGGGTGTCCCAGCTTTTTGGGGACACTTGCCGGGTATGCCTTCGACCATCCGCAGAGCATAACCGCCGAGAATAGTGGCCAGCGACTGCCCTCTCCTCTCCGAACCTGCCAAATCCTAATTGAAAGACACCTAGGTTGGTCCCGTTGCTGCTTCCAGTCATAGCTGTCAACTTACAGATTTGAAAATAAGGGACCAGCAGCCTCGAAAATAAGGGCTCGGCAGCCAAAATAAGGGATTTTCAGAGCACAGGTATGTTCGACTTCTGAGCCCCTCCGAGCCAAAGGCAGAAAGCCCAGCCAGCAGCCAAACGAAGCCTCAAGCGGTGGTTCCCACAGCGCAGCAACCCGGCAAAGGGGACGCAGCAAGGAAAACCACCGTCACCTATCCGCTGGGAAGCGCTGAGCAAAGGCAAGTCCCCAGGCAACGCGGCCGATTTGACCGACACAAGGCATGCAAGCTCCACCCCCCAGTCGTTCTTAGACTCCTTATTGGGTGAGCAATGCAGCCAAGCAACACAGTTGGAGCCTCCCTCCTCCCTGGCCTGCAGGGAGGGAGGGAGAGGAGCTGCTTCCTTTGAAACCCAGGAAATTTAAGGGACATCATCAATAAGGGACAGCAGCGGGACACGGCGCTGGGATAAGGGACTTTCCTGCCCAATAAGGGACGGTTGACAGCTATGCTTCCAGTGGGAGGGACTTCCATAGTTCAACCATGTG